TAGGGGAACTCAGATGGGACACTTGATTCAGAGGTGAGAAAATGCTGCCTTCTTGTCAGAGACTAACAACATTATATTGCAAGAGGAAGTCCTAACTAGATGAAACACCATGACCAAAAGCAAGTTGGGGAGGAAAAGGTTTGCTTGGCTTAAACTTACACTCTGCAGTCTATCACAAAAGGAAGTCAGGAGGGGAACTCAAGTAGGGTAGGAACCCAGAAGCAGGAGCTGATACAGAGGCTATGAAGGACTGCTGCTTACTGGCTTGCTCTCCATGGCCTGTTCAGCCTGCTTACTTATGGGATCTAGAAACAGAAAGTGGCCCCTTCACCATCAATCACCAATTAAGAAAATATCCTACAGTTGGATTTATGGAGGGATTTTCTTAATTGAGATTGTCTTCTTTCCAGTGACTCTACCTCATTTCAAGTTGACATAAAATTGTCAGCACAACTGATCCCTTTTTACCTTGACACAAATGCACATTGCTATTAAGTCACAACCTTTCCTTTCTTATTAAATGCCACAATCTTGCATTAATATCACAATATAAAATATTCCAAATTTTAAAATTCCCACATCTTTAAAACTTCAGTCTCCTTAAAATCCTAATTTTTCATAGGGGGTAAAGCCTCCCTTGGGTAGTCAACACAGGCTGGCATACCAAACTGGGGCCGAACCAAGCTTCTGTTCCCTCCCCTGAGTAAGGCATTGCACTACAGGGAATGGGCTCCAAAAGGCCAGTTTGTGTACCCAGGATAAGTCCTGGTCCCATTGCCAGGGGATCCACACATATTTAAAATTCAAGTCTCTCAATTGTGGGATCCTATGAAATCAAAAATAAATTAAACACTTTATACTTGTAGAGGGAAGAACCAGGGTGCAGTCACAAAATACACAAAGCAAAATCAAACTCCAACAACCAAAGTAACCCAGTGTCTAATCTTCTGGGATTCACTCACAATCTTCAGAGCTCCTCCAAAAGGCTGGGATCATTTCTACATCTCTGCCCACTGCAGCACACACAATTTATCTTCTAGGCTCCGGCTGGCTCCACTCCACAGCTGCTGCTATTCTTGTTGTCCATCCTATTATATTGGCATCTCCAAAACGTGTGGTCTTCTTCTGTAACTTGTTTGCACTTTCTCCGGTAGTCTCTCTGAGACTCTTTTCATGGTGCCAGACCTCAAATTCTATGCATGACCCCTTCAATCCAGTGTCTTCAGCTGCCATCAGGGCTTAATCTTCATCAATGGCCTCAGCTGGCCTCTCACAGGGTCAAGTCTCAGTTTTTCCCCATGATCCCTTCATGACTTCAACACCAGTGCTATCTAGGTGACTATTACCATGTTCAGCAGCCAGGACGAGGTACTGGGCGGTGGTGGCACACCCCTGTCATCCCAGCACTTGGGAGGCAGGGGCAGGCGGATCTCTGTGAGTTCGAGGCCAGCCTGGGCTACAGAGCGAGATCTGGGACAGGCACCAAAACTACAAAGAGAAACCCTGTCTCAAAAAAACCAAAAACAAACAAACATACAACCTTAGCTGCTCTCAAACACAGCTTTAGTATGCTCTCAGGAAGTACAACCATGAAGATTTAGCGCAATGGTGCTAGTTTCTTCAGCTCCAGCTGACCAGCATCAAGTATCCTAGCAAAGCAAAGGTTTCACTTTTCCTGAACTTGGCTTAAATTGTATATGGCATTTCACACACTATTATTAAAAGTTATCTCATAAATTATAATATTTGCCAGCTGTCATCATGGTTGATTCAGTTATAACATTGACACATATATTAGGCTATCTACTGTCTTTTCTATTTATTGATGCCTAGGATTTTATGACATTTCATAAAAGCTACAAAGAAAATGGTGAAGTTTAATTTATTGTAACAGAAAGTACTGTTCCTCATTTTCTTGCCCTACAGAAATCAGTTGGTACAGGTAGAAATGCAGAGATCACAGCGCAAGGATCATTGACGAAAACTTCACACTACCACTGGACACTCACTTTCACAAATATATCTAGCCACGATCATCTACTGTTGATTGTGGCATTTGAAAAATAGTAACATAATTGCCTTAAAGTTCTATTTCTAGATAATTTTCATCCAACCTCAATTGTTCCTTTTTCCATTACACCAAACTTGAATCTGTGGTTAGTGGGTCATTTTCATAAATTTACAAAAGACTTAGGAAAGAAGGTGTGTCATTTCTATAGGAATAACCCTGTACTGACTTTAAAGTTTAAATTTATACCCCCTGTTTTTTAATATCTAAGGACATTTTCAGAGTAGTAGTGGGGAGCTGAAAATCAGACAGGACAGAATTATTTAGATGAAAGCAAGGGAAGTAACACTGGCTTCATTTTAAAGAGCATATACATGATTTGTGTATATGTTTCTGTATATGCATACTATAATTATCTGGTTTCAAATCTTAAAGACTTTACAGAAAAGCTTGTTATCTTATTCAATACATTTATATTGATGTATTTTTAATTATCTGGCAGGCTATTCAAGAGTTAAGCAAGGTATAATCATAAAAGGAATGCAACCACTACGTCTCCTCTTCAATGAATGTACATGCACATTTATACGTGAATTATTAATTCAGTCTAAGCTACTTAAATGATACTATTCCCTTTAATGAGTCTTGTAAGTGTACAATTGCCAAATTGAGCAGAAATATTTAAATTCACACCTTATTAGACTCTGTTAGCTTGTGCTGTACTGGAAACCAAGAAGACTAGGCATCTGGAAATGAACCTTCATTGTTGTCAAGTGCAATATGACATCTTTGATCATGTAATGCTTAATTATAGCCTTTCACATTCATTTTCTTCTCCATTAGTATGGGTTCCAATTACTGGCTGCAGTTCCCTACCTCATTCCTACTGAGAGCTTTCTACCCTTCCCTAATACTTCCTCCTCAAAGAATACATAATTACCTCATAGAAAGCAGTATGAGTTTTAAGGACATACCCAGAATCCTTCATGGCCTGCTTCTGTTTCCAGCCATATCTAACCAAATCAATCCCTAACCCATCCAATACCTCCATTATGTCTATGCTCCCCGAAATAGTGTATTCTACTCACAGATGTTTTGCTGTGTTCATACTCATGGTCAGTTTTTACTGTTTCTTTATGATGATGCTTTTGTCTGCAACCTCCTTCTTCTCTCCAAATTCTAAGAAATCACACTTTTTCATTATTAGATTTCTTATGAATAGCAAGGGATCATTCTCATTCCAGCTATATTGGTGGCACTTATAATTTAAAAATCCCTCTGTGATTATGTATTACAACTCTTTTGGTATCCTTACATCTTGAAAACAATAGTGGATGGTAATACATTTGCTTAAAATTCAGTGTGAGATAAAAGTTTAAGTGTCTTAGCAAATATGATGTGACCTTAGATCTAAGTCCAAATATAACATAGGATGAAACAAAAATTCATGTATATAGCTATTCAATTAATTCATACAAAAAAGAGCAATTTTGAAACTAAAGTAAAACTTGTGAAGTTTGATTGTAAAAAAATGCATAAGGTGATAAACTTTATAATAAATAATCACTACCTTGGAAAAAGGGATAAACTGTCTAGAAACCCCAGTAAAATAATTTCCAACTGGATAGAAGTCAAAACGAATTGTGAGATGAAGAAACAAATACTTGGTATTTCATTTTCATGACTTGATGTGAAAAAACAAATTATAAATTTCATTTCTCAGATATATATTTTATTTCATAAGAATTATGTCTCTACATCTGCATATAAGCTATGAATTTATTTTCATTTTTTCAATATGGCCCACAGATTGATGAAATACATATTTGTGTCATGAAGAAACTAATAAAGGCCAGAATAGTAAGGGGAAAGTTAGTGACAAGTAAATGAGAAAGACTAGAGTATTAATTGGAAAATAGTTATACATCAAGAGCAAAATTTGTAATTTAAGGAAGAGAAGATAATACGTGAGAAAGTATTTATTTATTTGTTTATTTGCTTATTCATTTATTTACTTTTTTGAAGTCACAAAGTTTCTATTGAAAAATCTATGAGAGCCAGGAACACTCAGAGTACTGTAACAGAGACATGCCCAGGGAAATCTTTCTGAGAAGCTCGAGGTTTAGAAGACACCAATGAAAGGAAGAAGAGTCAATAAGATTGGACTAGAATGAATTTCCCAGCTAAGTCAAAGACCATGTAAGAGAAAATCACAGTTATCTGATGCCATTGGTCAATGTGTCTCCTTGACATGATCCAACTTCACCACCACAAGCAGAAGCAATCAATACTGGAATTTGTGAACACTTATTTTACAGAAAAGACATTCCAATTACTTGAAAGTATGAGAGTTTGTGACCGTAAAGAGAAAACATTGTTAGTTAGCATTGTTCACCCAAATAAGATGAGTTAGCTAAGTCTGTGTAAGAAAGGGCTTCGGGGTGATCAATCAGACACAGACAAAAGGGTGTCATTTGCATGACCGTTTTTGTGGCCAGCAAGATTTCCACATATTTACCTTCATGTATACTTTAATACATAAGAATAAGAAAACAGAATATAAGATTCTACTTTTAGTGAGGAATTCATGTGAGGAATTTGAAGATTTAAATGAATATTATTCACTAAAAAGTAACAGTATTAACTTAATTATTAAAATTGGGGAAATGCAAATAATGAAAAATTAAGTGACACATACATCATAGAAATTTAAGTATCGATCTAATAAGAGACGTCATTATGTTCCAGTGTTGTGTTCTTTTAGCTACATGCCCAATAAAAATCAAGAGTAACATACTGAAAAGTAAGGGCATGTAAGAGTGGGTCTAGAGTTGAAATGTAATACAACTAATGCCATTAATAAAATCTGCGGATTCTTACAGGAATAGAGAATGTTGACTAGGGATGTATCTATTGTTGATTTTATAGTTTCCCTTCTAACAAACAGTGCTGAAATATACAACAGAATGTGCAGAAACAATTTTTAGCTTACCATTAACAATAACAATGATATCCCGGAAATCAATCTCTCCCCTAGCCTCTACTCTTCCTTCACATCTGTATATACCTTCATCACTTTTATTGATGTTGAGAATCTGCAAGTTATTGTTTGCAAGCACAGCAAACCGATCTGAAAAACAAGCAAAAGAGAGGAAATGACATCAGTTACTGAGGCTGAGTCCAGAGTATTCCGACTTCCTAAGAGTTAAACTACAGCACTTTTCTGACACCATCCAACTTTTCATCAACCAAAAATTCAAATTTGAAAGTAAAATGTAATTTCACAACTTCAAGTTTCCACTCTACCTCTGCCTTGTTATATCCCCCTGCTTAAAATACATTCAAGACTTTATATCCACATAAAATGGTCAGGCTATTATTTTTATCCTTGGTGCTCTGAATGCAGAAACGATACACAAAAGAACAATGCAAGGAGTTTCGATATTGCTGATCGGACAACTTTTAAGTGCAAACAGTCACTTGGCTATAGAAAATAGTTAGAAAATTTATTGAACATCCTTCCCCAAGAATAATTAAACTGCCAATTTTTCTATAACCAGAAAAGGCAGCCAAGTGATGTGCTAATGTTCAAACCACATAAAGGATATAAAAATGGTTATGACTTGAATTTATTTCAGTACTGTTTTGCAAATTACAAATTAATCTTCTTTATGAATAATCAGATACAAGCATTAATTTTTATTTCAAAATTCAATTTTGTCTGTTCATATATGCACAAAGGTAGGCTGAAAAGAAACGTGTTATTTGCATTATTGAGTGTTAAAACTTATATTTGTTTTCTTTTAATTATTTTACTTGGTGAATATGAAAGTTTTGCCTGCCTCCATATATGTGTACAAGGTGCATGCCCTTTGCATCCTGTGAAACTGGGTTACAGATGATTGTGAGCCACCCTGTGGGTGGTAGGAATTGAACCTGGGTATTCTGCAATAATTACTCTTAATCACTGAGCATCATTCCAGGACCAGAAGTGCTATGCAGTGGTATGTATAATTATCTCAGATGCTTAGGCATCACCCTTATTTAAAATCATTATCAAAAAAAATTGTAATATCAAGGCTTTCCTTATTATGTAAATGATGCTCTCATGTCTAGTTCTACTGTGCTAAGGATTTTAAATAAAATATTATTTTTGTTTCAGAATTTCATCTTGCACAGTAAATATCTTATGTTTCATTCGTTAATGAATCCATAATAGCACTGAACATCAAGTTTTGAATAGGTATAGTATTTAATATGTTGGTTATTAAAGTAGATATAATCTTTACTAATTTTGAATATGTGCATCAAACAGAATTTCTACCAATAAAGAGAAGAAAGTCCCTACAACATTTATTGTCTAGATGCTACTTTTTCTTGTCTGGGTCAAGTTTATTGATTTTTATCTATCTTCTGGTTTAATAGAGATGCCTGGAAATCACAGAAGACATTTGTGAAAAATAAAGGAAAAGGTTGTCACCTGGGAGTCCTGAAGTACATCCATGCTAAAAAGTAGATGTTGTGGTGGTAGGGGAAAAAAAGAAAAACTATTATTATCCACACCTATTCAAATGCAGGTGTTATATAAATTGCCATCACTTTTTAATGATATGGAGAGTTGTTTAGAGTAGAAATAACTGAAATATTATTGCTCAAGCAGTAAGTTATTAAAACAGGCAAGCAAGTGGTCAGTGTTACAAAGTAGATACTTATTTGAGATGGAAACGTGTAGATTAAGTGGCTGCCTCAGAAAGAGTACAAATTATGAGGATAGAGACGTTATTTTCAGGTGTGTGTTTATATATAAAGAATATATAAAATTTTCCATTATGCTTATTTCTTTTGTTTTAACCTAAGACAACCAAAACATTCTTGCAGAGGCTTCCCCAGTTAAGTGAAAAAGAAAACACGAAATTTCTTCACCATAGAAAACTAGGTTGGGGAAAGGGGACATGTAAAGTACAAGTCTCCAAACTTCTGGAATGACTTGGAATTTCTGAAGACTCATGAGGATCCAGCGTCAATTCAAATATATTCTTTCAAATTTTGTGGTTGGACACTAGAACAGGATATAATTATTTTTAAGATGGGAACCATGGCAGCACTAGTTAATGTGCCATCACGGATTCAGGAACTCTCACAGGGTCCCAATCCAAGATTAAAAGCTACAGACAATTAACAACCACTAAGTGAGGGGAATTGGCTTTCCCCTGAGATGAGCCCCCTATTTGATTATCCAATATAAAGTTTTCATTCCCAAAAAACATATATATTAAACAGACTCAGCAGGTTGTGTTTGTATATTTATTTACAAATATTTATACAACATGCAACAGTAATAGTAATTAATAATTAAAAAGAGCATGATTTGTGAGCAAGTGAGGGGATATGAAATGGGTTAGAGGGAGGAGGGGGAATATTGTAATTATATTTTAATCAAATAATTTTTAAAGAAATAATTATGTTTAAGAACATTCAGGGAGAGGAGAATACTCCCAATCACATCATGTTGATTTTATTGTGTTTTCCAGCTTCAAAAAACATGTATACCCTATATATGTCAAGTCCTTAAATTACATTACTTTACTAGGTCTAAGAAAAATAGTAAAAAAGGAACTCTGTTTTAATAGAGAAGGTGATGTTTTAATTGAAAATGAAAACATAGTTATAGACATATAATATACTTTTGAGAAAATTTGATCAGTATTTTATTTTTCTGATTAGGAAAATGTCTCTTTCAAATTATCTTTTAATTAATTACTTTCTATAATGGATTAGAAAACATCCAAATTGTAAAAGTATAATTTCATAAATGCATGCTATTTTATGTTTATGTCTATAAAACTGTCCATAGTAAAAACAATCTCTGTAGAAAGGGTATGTAAAATTCCAATATGTATATAAAGATTGTAGCTGTTGGCAAGCTAAAAAAATAACATACATCACTGACACGAATATCCTAAAACAGACTGCTTCAAGAAATCACAGGTAGCAATGAGTCTGAAAATGCTTAAGACTCTTATTATCAGTTGCAAATAATTTCAATTTTAATAATCAAAATTACAAAAAATATAAATTAGATAACAATCAATAAATAATATACATCACTTTTAACTTTTGATTTTCAACTTCTCAGTCTTTTTTCTCTTTTTTTCTTTATTGTACATAATGCCATACTTTTTCTCTTCTACTATGACATGAATCAAAAGTTACATTTTAATAACTGAAAGATTTCTTCCAGGCTCCATTATCCCTATTCATTTCGGACCACAACTTAGAAGTGTTGTAAGTATACCAATCACAGAATGCATGCAATTCTGTTTAATATATTTACATGGAACTCAGGGCAGACTCACAAGTCATAGAACACTTTATGTCAGGCATATACTAAACCATCCTTCATATCTCCATTTCCTTGTGTCTACATTAACAACAAAAGTCTATGTGATATCACCCTATCATTAATCATCACTTAGTGTTAAGTCTTCTCTCTCAGAAGTTATTCCCTAAGGAACAACTGAACAACCCCCAGTGTTTGGAGTTTTGCCTTGAACTTCATCCAAGTTATTCAATTTGATGAAATAGAAACATGCTTTTAAATATATATTAGATCATATATATTAGATCATGTCAGTGCCTTTATTGAAATACTTCAGTGATATGTCATCTAAAAATTTTTCATGACCTTTAATAGAAATGTCAAAATGATGTTGACCTTGATAGTCTTTCTTTCTGTGTTCCTCAATCATTGGGTAACAAGTCTGGATCACTTGCATAAGCATTCAGTTTGCATGTATATTAAAGTTCAAGTTAGACTGAACTGATTTTAGGTTCCTGCTGGGTAGCAATTAGCACTTCTCTTCTATAAAATATCTATTTTGGAGGCAAACTCCTTAGGACTCAGCTGTTCTAAAGGATGGTGAAACTTTCCATGTTACAGCAAAATCCCCTAAGATCAGAAAGTAAACAAATCAAAAACATCAGGAAGTTCCTGGAACTGACATTAGTCACTACGATTTTCTCTCCCACAGCCTACATAATCAATAAGAATTGTTGAAAGATTGCCTCAGACTAGATATCTATATGGAAGAGGCACTGTTTAACCTGTTGGATGCTTGAAATTTGTGCTGGGAGGGACTTCTGATGATGCATATATATTTGACTCACTTCTGCTCCTGTAAGTAACTTTTCATCCACAGATAAGTAACCCCAATAAATCCTCTTGGTTCACAAAATTCACTTCCACCAGATCCTTCCTTTTGTCTGCTGTTGTTTACCTACATGGTATATGTAGAAATATCTTCATGATTTTGCAGGAATAGTGTCATACAACAGTTCCTTGGGATGTTATTGTGCTTCCTTTTATTATCAGGCCATTGCATGAGAGGTTTTCTGTCATGGAAAGTCCTCACATGAGGAGACATATCTATGTTGGTGCAAAGTGACATTTTTCCACTGACAGACATCTTTGAGATCCACCTTAACACCAACTCTCTTGAGCATCCTATCTATTTAACACGAGAACTTTGCAAGTTACCTTTCATAGATTTCAGTGCACCTTGCTTTCAATGATTATCTGTTTACATATTCCTGTAGACTATCAATATTTTGAAGACAATGAAATTGTCTTCTAACAATGAATCAACATTCAATCTTTTATATTGTAAGATAATTATATACATTTTTATTGAATAATATTTTTTCTGTAATTCTGATACCAAAGAGCACTTTATTTAGATTCTAACTGAAGTGTTTACAAACGTGATGAGACACATTTCAAATTAGGGCATGTTGAGGAGTGTCTGTATATCTGTGTGAGTGACCACTAAAAATAGGGAAATCCTACTTCATAGGAGCTGCCTGTGCTCTTTAGCAGATGGGTCTCCTTTAGAGAAACAAAGGAAAAGCCTACTTACATCATTCTCTTGGAATCTCATGTTAGATATCTGACAGACAGTTCTTATCGGAAGCAAATGAGACAAACTTTCTGAAGCCTTCAACATCTGGCCTTGACTGCCAATTCAGTAACCAATGAAACATTATCAAAGAATACTCCCAGATCATCTACTTAATTTAAAATCTTTATACACATTTTTTGGCTGTAAATCCAATTTTGTTACACTAGCTGAAAAAGACAGAACATGCTAGATGCAATACAAAAATCTACATAAATAATCAAATTGTTCAAATATTAAATGTTTTGAACCTGCTTCTAATGTTCCTAGGTTAGAAAAGTTTGAGCTGCACAATTATCATTAATTATTTTATTTTAATTGAATGCTATAAAACTCTGTAATGTTCCAATTTTAAATCTACTGATATCTGGTTTGTAGATATTATTTTTTCTAGGCATAAGCTGAATATGTATAATTATGGTAAAACGTTCTCATCTTTAAAAACAGAGTAAAACACAAAACATTAAAAAATAAATACTATGATTGAGAACAACATATCTAGCAACATGCTCAATTTATTTATATAGCAAACATTTGTGAATGCCTGATATATTATTTACAGGCTACAGAAACTGCTTGAAATGGATGCATTGACCCATTGTCTGCCGATAGAATATTTCATTAAGAGCACAGGAGCTGGAAAAGCCCTTTTAGTGTTTCAAGACAAAGGGTGGGAGAAAAATCCAATGGGGATTCCAGATTTGCATATTCCATTGTTGGATGCTGGGAAACCACGTCAGCTGTGCTACAGCACTGTCATCTCTGCATCATCCCTACATTTCTTAAACAGAGGGTGTTTTAAGGCTTTGCTCCAAGTCACATTTTAAAACTGTTAATCATTTTAGATCTTCTTGTGATTAAGGTTTATGCTAACCTGTATGTAAATGCAAGCTCCAATACTGGATAATCTGTAAGTCTGTAGACATTGTCATTTAACTATTATAAGGAAACTTCCATTTAAATATTATAAGAAAACTTCCTGTCCTTTCAGATTGAGGGACAGAATGCTGAAAACACATTGCATAAAGTACTCACATAATTTGTGTAAAGCTTGAAGGATTCATAAATAACAAAAAAGAAGTAATTAAATATTATATTTTATTAAATTAGAATATAAAATGAAAGTTTATCATTAACTGACAAGTACTGAACATGTTATGCTTGGAAAAATTATCTTAAAATAAAAAATGACTATTAAACATAATTATGACACATTCTCTAAACGTACTTAAAAATAGACATTCTACTTTCTATACTTTATGCTGTGTAAATTTTATCTCTTCAGAACACATAATGGAATCATCTAACATGGAAAATACTTTAAAAGATTCAATTATTTGTACCTCTATGTAATGCAGGTGCATTGAAAAATATACCAAATTGAAAGTGTCCCGACGCACAATGGTAAAGTAGCATAATGTAAGTAAATTATACTTTCAATTTCAAATGTCATATTCTGGAATTTTACCTCAGTCTGAATCAAAATCATGATGACAATTTGAACAAATATTCTCTTCTGTCAATTATCCATACTTATATTTCCATAATACTTAGAATATGCCACTTTCTTTGAGAGAACGTCCATAGAATATAAGGCAGATTTCACACTGATATTATATTCTGCTTGTATGTAGTTTTCTCATGGTATTGGAAATATAAAGAGTATATTCTGGATGTTTCGCCATCTACTACTTCATTTGCTTTTTTATTTTTTAATAACGTAGTAATATCTGGTAGTAACAGATGACAAGCACACAATTCTCCATAATAGTACTTGTAGTAACTCCTTTTGCCTTTCTATAATAAACCACTTGAACATTCTGCTGCCAAATCTACCATAGACAAAAAGTATCTACGGAGTATGGATGTTTGTTTGTTTTCGAGATTTTTGTTTTGTTTTGTTTGCTTGCTTGCTTGTTGGTTTTCTGTTTTATTTTTCTTTTTACATGTACCCATGTATTCTAGGCTGGCTTTGGAAATTTTATGAAGCTGAGACGACCTTCAACTCCTGACTATTCTACAGCTTTCTGACAAGTGTTGTGATTACAGGAACATGTCATCATGGCTGGCCACATGTCTTTCTTTTGCTAGCTTATTCAAAGCAACAAAGGTACAGAATTTGGCCCAAAGTCCAGAGGACGGCAGCTTCAAACTGGGTTTTAAATCTCAGAATACTTGTTTGAAACTTGAAATCAAATTAATGCCGTCTTTTTTGTTGTTTGCTTATCTGTGTGCCACAATCAGATTCTTACTCTATGGCCCGGGCTGACTTTGGGATCACACTTCTCCTGTGTCAGACTTTCAAATGCTGGAAATACTGACACACAATAGCATGCCCAACTCTCTGATTCTTCTCCTACAAATACAGAACATTCATATTTGAAAACCTTGAAATGTTTTGAGAACATATAACTTAAGGAGTTACCAAAATACTAACTGTCGGGAATGGTGGTGACTTCCTCGTTGTGATACAGCCAGCTGACCGCTGGGGCCGGGGAACTGCTAACCCTACAGACCACTTCTGCATCCTCCCCTTGCTTGAATTCTTGAGGGGACACCACTTCTTTGAAGGTGAGTTTTTCTGCATCAAGAAAATAAAACCACTTGTTAAAGATTTATCACTTACTTAACTGGACATATCGTCATCTATTATTAATTATTATTGTAGTGAGAATTCAGATATTTAGAAACTTTATAAATAGTGATCTGTGTTCTTACCACCTTGCCAATGTTCTCCAAGAACAGAGTTTTGTCTTTATTCTCTTAAGCATTCTTGACTGTGAAGTTTGCTATTCTGAAAATTAACTTTCCACTTCAACTCTGAATTCTCTTTCCACCTTTAATTTATTTTCCGTGAAATTCTATTACATGTATAGATATCTATATCTATCTATCTATCTATCTATCTATCTATCTATCTATCTATCTCTATCTATCTATCTATCTATCTATCTATCTATCTATCTATCTATCTATCTATCTATACATAGAGACAGACAGAGAGACAGAGAAATAGAGAGAGAAACTGAGAACAACACTGATTAGACATCAATAAGTGTCATGGCATAATGAATGAGCACAGATATTTATGTTCAATAGAGTTTTTCACAAATAATAGGAATTGTTATTGGAGCAAAATTGTTTCATTTTTAATTTAATAATTAAATCACCAAGGTTTTCATGTATTACTTAAAAGTAATGAAAAATGTTTTCAAAAATTAGGCCTATAAGTTATCAAATTAATTGTCTTTGTATTTTGAGAACCAGGCAAAACGTGATATCCTTTTAATATCTTTTCCAGAAAATTTTAATATGACAGGGATAGAAAAAGCCAAAGATGAAGACTTTTCTATGGAAAAGTCTGGATTTATTTTAATATATCATATTTTTATAGCAATGAAAAACAAAATTATAAAGAGCAAGACATTTTGTGTTTCTATTTAAAGATATATGGGCCTCCATATCCCTCAAATTTATGATTGAGTGCCAGGTTTTACTTTTTTTTTCATTTTTTATTAAAAAATTTTCTATTTACTTTACATATCAACCACAGATCCCCCCTCTTCCCTCTTCCTACCACCCAGCCTTCCCCCCTACCCACCACCCATTCCCACATTCTCCAAATCAAGATCTCCCATGGGGAGTCAGCAGAGCCGGCACACTCAGCTGAGGCAGGTCCAAGCCCCTCCACCCTGCACCAAGGCTGTGCAAGGTGTCATACCCTAGGCACTGGGCTCCCAAAAGCCTGCCCATGAACCAGGGATGCATCCTGATCCCCTGCCTTGGTGCTCCCCAAAACAGTTTGAGCTACACAACTATCTCCCGTATCCAGAGGGCCTAGTCTAGTCCTATGGGGGGCTCCACAGCTATTAGTCCACAGTTCATGGGTTTCCACTAGTGTGGCTGGTCATCTCTGCACGTTTTCCCATCATGATCTCGATGTCCCCCTGCCCACAGAATCACTCCTCTCTCATTGATTTGAATCCTGGAGCTCAGCCTGGAGCTCGGCCATGGAGTTTTGCATCAGCTTCCATCAGTCACTGGATGTGGGTTCTATGAGGACAGTTCTCACTTTTAAGCATATTTTGTTGTGTTTGAATCCTTTGAAATGAAACTGCTGTTTCGACGAACTGAAACACAAATGAACAACTTACGGTAAATTTCCAAAACTACTGTAGCTTCTTGCGTCTGTCCTTTGGCATCCGTTGCTTGGCAGCGATAGATACCCGCATCTTCTATGTTTGCATTATAGATGGTTAGTCGTGACCTGACCCCTTCCTTCTGTAACATAACCCTCTGTGTTGAAATGATCTTTTCTCCTTGAGGATTATACCAATCTATACTCTCAGGCTCACCAATTGCTGCAGAGACAGAAAAAAAAGTTTGAAAAATCAATTTAGAGTGTTTGTTTTCACAGTGACATTTACTATTATGTAACAATTTCAGCAATTTAGAAAAAGAATGTCAATAGAAGACTGGAAATCTGAAAATTGTACAAAACTGAAAGTAAACACAAATGTTAAGACAAATGTTCATCTTTGTTTAATCAACATTAAGGATTCCGTCTGGTACATGTAAGCAAACTTCAAACATTTCATCTGAAATACATTACTAGAATTTAAGCTGTGAGAATTGAAGCTTCTTCAAAGTCATAATATATGGGTTCTTTTTGCACAAAATATTAAAACTGCCTTAGGAAGACATAAGCCTGCCTAAGACATTTATAAAGAGAAACAAAGGTTAACATGATTTCATAAGCTCTGTTGTCATTCCCAAGGTCAAGAGACAGCAGAAGTATTGGCCCAAATAAAGAATAACTCACAAACACGTAAATATTTTGTAAAACAAACTTTGGCCTTTGGTATTTCTAAATTTTGAGTTAATTTTCCGACTTGTTCAAGCAGTGCAGAAAAGGCATATTGCTATTTAAGAAAAAAGAAATCCTAATGTATCTTTCCAACTGAAATGAGTTATTTTCTCAGCTTCATCTGAAATTATTAACTATTTAATCATATTATAGTTAGAATTAATAGAAATAGTATTATCCTGCTTAGCATTTATAACCAATTATAGTGTAAACATTAATTTAAAGTTTCCAATTCAGAATCTAGGTCATGAACCACTTTATAAAACTAAAGCTTGCTGCATTTTCTGTCAGTCAACAAAGATATTTCATCTAAATGCATTCACTCAAAAGTAGTGGGAAAATGCATAAAGTTAACAACCACAGGTCCTCTGTGAAGATAATAGTTCCTTCTTTTTTGTGTTATGAAAAATATCTTTCTTTGTAAAATACTGTAGACAGGTCCAAGGAATAAACAATAAATGCACATCAGTTCAACTTGGAATAATACAAAATATCACAGTTTTTAAATGTAATGTAATATTATAAAAATATTTTAGATATTTCACTTTCCAACATTATGGTAGAGAAATTTCACCATCATAGAGGTATCACTAAATTTACACAAAGCAATCACAATTCTATTTCTTTCATAATATCTAGTGAGTGATTATTTCCAGTAAGATGTTCCATATGGAAACTGAGCTGGGGTATTAGACACATGATTAAAATAATTAAAATTATTCTTTTTTCTGAAAGTGTATTCAAAGTATTTACTATATATGGAACAGTCTTCCATCAATAATGTGATAGGTCACTGGCTAGTTTAGAGTGAAAGTATACGTGTAGAGTTTCAGTTAGTCATATATTTAATGTATCTGAATTTAAAGTATTCTGCATGTATTCACTATCAGAGTAGGAAAAATAATGCAAACTCTGATTTGCATAGTTTCTATCATTACTATACTTACTCATAAGAAACTCAATACATTATTAAATGAAGTATTTTCAAAATATTCACTTGTTTATTTTTGTTTTTGTATCACTTAATGCTATAATATATATACCAAATTGCAATAATAATACACAAAATAAAATTTATTTGATTTTTGTAATAGATTTAAACTTTCCATTTTATGTAATTTTTTTACCTAAAGAGTGTATAAGTATAAAACATGTAAAATATAGAAACAGTACCTAATATCCTTTGGCCAAAATTCCTCTGATATAAGTAAAAATATTAAACAAAAAATTATTCACCTTTGATAGTCTATTAGTATAAAAAATGTGTATCACCATATGTGTCATTTAAGATACATAGGGAAGTAAACATATAAAAAACAAAATTTTGTTTTTTAATATTTTCTAATCATAAGATCCAAATATTTAATGTCTATATTCTCTGAATATAGTTTATGAATAGTAGTTGAACAATATTCTACTTTTTTAATCCTTGTCAAAATTTAAATAAGCCATAGCATTGTCAAGACAACTTTTCCCCTTTTTGTGTGATCCTGGAGATTTAAATCAGGGCTTTGCATGCATTAGGTAAGCACTCTACCACTATCCTATACTACAAATGTGCTAAGCAAATTTTGTATTATCTATATCAGGAATACTTGTAGCCTTCTTGATCTACGTCAGGAATACTTAGGGTATTCTTGTCTTACATTATTTGACTGTTATCAGAAACAGAGACATACTAAAAATAGCCTCTTACATTATTTTAGCATTAACTGAATAGTTTTGAATACACACACACACACACACACACACACACACACACACACACACGTATATATAGCTTATGTTCATAAGTGTGGATATGATTAATACAAGCAGGTGGATAATATGTTCATTTGACATTTCTATAATATAGTGAATTAAAACTTTCCGATCAAGTACACAAAAACTGTCTGAAAAAATAGAATTCTAATTAAATGGAATAATTTTTGGCAGAAATGTCATGTAATACATTGATTAATCATCAAAAATTTTTTTAAAAACCTTTTAGTGACTAAATAATTATACTTGATTACAATTTATATACCAAAAAGATATACACTATTTTGTCATTTAACTTTCTTTCAGGCGTTAGAATTATTTTTCATATAATAAGTGACAATATGCTATTTTTAAGCAAGATCAATTTTAACTATTTAAATTTATTCAATGTACTTTATAAACACTAAAAGCACAAGACCATTATCTGAATACATACCTGTACATGTGAAGAATTTAGATTCACCCACACTAAGCTCTACTTTGCTAAGTGAAATTGTCACTTGAAGAAGAGCTGAAAAAAAATATTTGAGTAACAGTTAATTGGGATTTTGAGCACAAATTCTAGTTATTGATGTAAGTCACAAATGACACACAAAAATCTTTTTTTTTTTGCTAACTTTTCATTGTTCAATTGCTGTGGAATAATCTATCTGTATACTAAGAATATGTATTACTCTCATTGATTAATAAAAAGCTGACAGGCCTGTAGCCAGGCAGGAAGTATAAGCAAGACAGCTGGACACAGAGGATGCGGGAATGAAGAAGGGCAGAGTCAGAGGAGACCCCAGCCAGTTGCTGAGGAAGGAGGATGTATAAAAAATGAGGAAACAAGCTGTGAGCCACATGGCAAAGCATAGATGAGAAATATGCATTAATTTAAATGTAAGAGTTAGCTAATAACAAGCCTGAGCTATCAGCACAACATTTATAAGTAATATATCTGAGTGGTTATTTGGGAACTGGTGGGAGTGACAGAAATGTCTGACTACATTTACTATGGAAAAACATGTAAGTTTTATAAATATATTCCAGCAATTCTATATGCTACAATAGCAAGAATTTCACACCAGTCTGACTGTGGCATTTATCTATTTTATTTATTCAATATAATTCTATTGGACATATAATTGATCAATTTCATAGTTTCCTTTTCCCTAACAATATGATGGGTCTTATTTGTTTAGCCATATGGTGTAATACATAAAGAAAAATTCCTTCCAACAATAAGACTTTTGGCAAAAATCATAACTTAAATACTTGTTGTCAAGTTAAAATAATGAAAATTCTCGAATTTTACAAGATAATTAAAATGTTTTTCTCATTGATATTGACTGACCTATTTCTAATGATGGGAAAGACTACACAGTAAGTCATTACCCAAATCCTGTCACCACAATCTCCTTTCCTCAGAAATAGATATGCATTTATTCAATAAAGTAACGTGGGTACAAGGGATAAATGGAGAAAATATTGAAGTTCTTGTATGAGCCTGTACTGGGAATAAGTAGGTCAGAGTAACCAACAGCCCTCTTCTACTGAGCACAGACTGCAAGAAAAAAAATGCCCGTTAGTCTTGTGTACAGTGGTGCCACAGACACATGGCATGGAACTGGAGTAAGATCTACTCTTGTTTCTGAAGAAAATAGAAACTATTAGTGCTCTGATAAATGGAGGCATCAGGGAAACTTGCCTCCTCTGAGCACAGCACTTATATCCATAACAATTCTGTCACGTTGAGACTCATGGTTTCAGTAGTGGATATGTGTTCTCAGGAGAAATCCAAAGAAGATGTTTGCCAAAGGAGAATAGCAGGAAGGGCTAACAGTCAATTGTGGTAAGCATAAATGCCCTTGGAAGACACACAGTATAGGCAGTATTTTTATAGATGAGGTTCTCTTCACTATAACATCATAAACTGACCTTAAAAAATGAGTGTTTTAAGATATAATGAATAATATCTCAAACAACAAATAGGAGAAATGGAAATATGACTTTAAAAAATGCATATTTTAGACTGGGTCCCAAACATAACTGTTCTGAAATGTTTAAAGAAATGAAATACATACTCAAAGCATTTCAACATGCTAGAAGAGTAGACTTCAATTTTTTTTTCTGTCCAAACAAATGGATAATAATAAGGCAGACATATTAATACAAGGTAAGCATTAAATAATTTGTGCATGTATTTAAATGTCACATGGGATTCAGAATGTACTGTGGATTGTATGAGGAATAATCTACATAGGCTTATGTGTTGAACACTCCTCTTGAGGCTGATGATATGAAAGACTGTGGTTCCTTTTGAATCTGAAACTCCATGGAATTAGATGGATTCTAGGTGATATTTTGTTTTGTTCTGTTTAGCCCAATTCAATGAAGAGGGACAGAAGCGTAGGGAGAGGGTCAAGATTAGCATGAAAAAGCCATTTGGCATACAGATTGGAAATCTATCCCCAGCAGAGCTACCTGGAATTGACAGAACATACCTATTGGAGTCCAGATGTTCTACGGATCTTTAGGAGGTGCAACCCTTGTCCCAGATGTGGCCCCTTGAATGTGGAAAATGCAGGCAGGAGATAGAGCCTAAAGGGGATGCCTTCCATGGCAAAACAAGCCCACAAAAGTTGAGGGAGTGCCAAAAGACTCAGAAAAGGAGCTCCAAGACACTGTTTGATCAAGCTCTGCTTGCCCTGCTATTTCTAGCAGTTAGATTAAACAATGCATAAACAGCAAGGGGAAAATAGGAATAATTCATTCCTGAAGTGAACCCAGAGTCTTGTATTTTTGCCTACCATTACCCTCTGTTCCTGGTCCCTCTGCTACCCAGGGTTACTCAGGCTGTGGCATATACCTAAGAAAAAATGTATGATATGCAAATGTGAGGGAAAGTGGTGTCATGCGAATGACTTACGAAGGGCCAACACCTCCCAGGGCACAGCACTTTTGAGCTCAGACCTTTGCAGCTGTCTCGCCCACTTTTCTTCCTGGGAGTAAAACTCTTTCTCTTAATAAACTGTCTCTATTTCTATCACTATATGTTACTGCTCCAATTCTTTGTTCCGGGAAACAAGAGCCTAGCTATATCAGCAGGTGCTCTCTGATTCATGCAGGTAACAATTGGTGATCTGCCAGTCAGAAGGTACAATTGGTTTATGTCTATAATCTCTGAACTTTAACACAATGGAAGATTAGATGCTTTCAGAGTTTACTCTCTCTCTCTCTCTCTCTCTCTCTCTCTCTCTCTCTCTCTCTCTCTCCCACAAAAGAACCATGAACCCTGACAGCAGAGCACTCTTTCTTGTTTCCTTTCCCTCTCCCTTTCACAGTCCACGTTGCTCTTTGAAATGGTAGGCAAGCTATTGTGGGATGCCTAAGGATAACATGATGCTAACCGTTACCAAAGGCCTGAAAGAAAATAACAGAAATGACTGGTTCAAACTCTGGTCAGGGGGAAGAAAGCCCCGAAGAGTTGAATTCTCAGACCAGTTCTTCTAGCTCTCCTGAAGCTACACTTAGAGTAGTCTAAGATCCCTAGATAACAATGACTGTGATGTGATCTGCAAATGACAGATCTCTTTGTGGATATAGACTGGACAAGAAGTCCACTAATGTAGACCTTGTACCACCCTGATCCATAGAATTATCATAAAAACACACTTTAATTGCTTTTATTCTCAGCTATGGTGAGTTTTTATCCCAATGCTATAAAGAAAAAGAGGCCTTTAAACAAGCTCTGTGGGGGTGGGGAGGTGTGATGAGGGTTGATTAAAGTATAGAAGTATGGACTATGTGATACTGCATCCAGACTTTTCTCGTAAATATCAAGAGAAATAATCAGGTCTTCATAACTATCTACAAAGATAATCAGAAGCTGCAGAAGAAAGCACATAATACTGTGACACCTTAGATTATACTTGTTTGTGTACACATGTCAAGTAGCAAACAGAAAACAACACAAAATGGAACTTAGCTAAAATATTTTGTCTTTCTCAACAAAGTCCTGCCACATTTCCATGTTTTTACATTTATCCAGGTTGTCAATAAAGGAACATGGTCCTAATGATCATACCAGGAGTAGTACTTCTTGTCATTCATCCACATGTGACAATGTCTGATAATTCAATGTTTGATAATTCAATGTCTGATAAAGCATGTGCCAGGACCCTCAAGATTAATTACAATCCACATCTCTATTTGAACCATAGCAATGTATGGAGAATCAAGAAAGATTTTTTGATGAATCGTCCTGATTTACCAGTAACTTTCAGACCTTGAATTTAGTTTACAGTATTTACTTACTCCTGACTATGTGCTATGCCCCTGCAGAAAAAACAAAGAGTGCGGGCATGCTGAAAAACTATTGGCTTAAGTCCTAATGACCATCTGCCCAATGTGCATGTCCTCTCATATTAACAACCCACCGTTCAAGATGATAATGATCCAACCGGGCTCCAGGAGTGTAAATATCATTACAATAAAGGAAAGTTCAATTAAGGTACTTATTCATTACTTATGACAAGTTTGAAAAGGTTATTCAAGGAAAAAAAGGAAATCTGTTCCTAATTTGCAGCAGGCTATTTGGGGCTTTCAGGAAATTTAGCAACTTGGATCCCTCATCCTCAAAAGGAAAAGTTTTCTGAATCAAAGTTTGATTCTGTGGAAAGTGTAAAAGTGTCACATGAGACCTGAAATTCAGTGATCAGTTACTGGGCATTGCTGCCTTGGTGTTCATAAGATACCAAAAAATTGTGATTACACTCGAAGACACCATTGGAAAGTCTTCCCAACAAGCAAACACTCCGATTAGTCTTAGAGACCAAGGAGAAAATCCCAGGTCTGCTTCAGCTGTGAAGTTCCTGGACCCTACATATGCGAATGTGTCAAATGCAGTCATCTGTGAGGACCCATCATGTAGGATCCAGGGAGCCGTCATTAAATGACATGTCTCCATGCCAAAAACAGGAAGAGACAACTTCTCTATGACCACATTACAGAATTGAAAGTTCCCAGGGAAAGATTCTGGAAGACAGAAAAGCAAGACACCCTCACAGATCTTTCAAGAGCTACCCATGTTTCCTCCTAAGATAGACAGAGATCAAAGATCCTTGTTCTTTGTCAAAACAAACATGCTTAACTTCTTAAAATGTATTCAAATGGCATTTTTGGGGGGGGTGTCTATAAATATTTCATGAAACCTTTAAAATGCTACTTATTTATATAAAATCATATTTATTCGATCATAAAATAAAACTTTTTAGCTATGAAATCTAAATTGGATACATAAATTTTGATAGGTACTTGCTTTCAATATATGGTTTAATAGTTAAAGATAACAGAAAAAAATAAGCCGTAAAATGATTTGTTAGGATGAACAATCTCTAAAAAATTAACAGTAAAATAGTTTCACTTTTGGCATTATTATAGGCCTCTTTAGAGCCAGAAATAGTCTTAAAATACAAATGATAAATTTAACATGTTTATTTGGAGTGATGCATTTGAGAAAATATGTAT